TCCAGGCCCTGCCCTGGGGAGCGAGGGGAGAGTTGAGACACCTCTCAGGAGGCCCCCTTCTGAGCCAAGGCTCTAGCAGCCCCCACCCCTCCCCAGCCTCGCAATCCCAGGCCCAGGGTTGCATCGCTGAGGCGTCTACCAAGGCGCACAATAGACTTGTCTCCAGAAAATCCACCCGCGGCTCCTCCTGAGCCTCAGTTTAAGCTTGGCTGAGATGGAGCCTCCACTTCCGCACCCACCTTCAGGCACATCGAATCTGAAGCCAGATGTGCCTCCAGGCCGGGGAGGCCAAGAGCCTAGGGCTGACTGGGAAGAGTCGTGCTCTCTGGGCCTTGCCTTGGCAGCTGGGCCATAAGAAGGGCATCCAGATTCTTTTTGAAGTTAATTCTCAGAACATCAGATACAGCCAGAGTCATAAATGTGAGAACACATTCCTCGGACTGGGACAAGTGTTTTTCCTTTACCCATGGCTCAGGATCAGTTCAGTTCTGCTACCTGGCACAGATAGCAAGGGGCAGAGACTGGAATTCCCTTGGCAGCAGGGTGCAGCTGGATCAGGAGGTGCCACTTGCCAGTTTGGGCCTGAAGCCCTCCCTCCAAGGAAATAGTTTAGGCTTCCTTTCCTGAGGGATGCAAAACTGGACTTGTAATCTCTATGCCCGCCCCACCGCAACATAACTGGCATAGACAATGCTAAAAACGTACTGTGGAATATGTCCTCCATTCTTTCCATGAGTATTTACTGAGAACCTGCATTTAGGCTTCCTTTCCTGAGGGATGCAAAACTGGACTTGTAATCTCTATGCCCGCCCCACCGCAACATAACTGGCATAGACAACGCTAAAAACGTACTGTGGAATATGTCCTCCATTCTTTCCATGAGTATTTACTGAGAACCTGCTGTGTGCCTGGCCCGGTGCTAGGGACACTTGGGAAAGTTTATTGATAACAGTAATTACTACCATTTTATTTTCAAAGAACTGAGCCAGATGCCATGCTTAAATTTTTTTAACATATGGGCCGGCCCCAACATATTATTATTGACGTACCATAAAATCACCATTTTAAAGTGTACAGTTGAGTAGTTTGTAGTATATTCACAAGGACCATGCATGATTTTAAATTCTCACAATAATTATAGGCGTGAGGTATTATTATCCACATTTAATGAATAAGGAAATTAGTGCCCAGAGAAGCTAAATAACTTGCCCATGATCATCCAGCTGAGAACTGGCAGAGTGAGGACTTGAACCCATGCAACTGAGACCAAAGACTGACTCTGAGCAAGAGGCTTGACTGCCTCTTAGGATGAGGACAGGATGATGGAAAGTGTTAAAAGCCATTCGTGCAATGAGAGAGCGATAATAGGGAGCCATTTCAGGTTGTTGAACAGATGAGTGGTGAGACTGAAGTTCTCCCAAGTAGCCTTATAAAGTGACTGTATTTGGAGTAACAGCCCCAGGGTCTCTTTCTAGAATGATGTAGGTACTTGTCTGTGTCACTCTGTTCCCTCTTAGTCAAGGTATTGCCACTGCTGGTTCTGTGGCAAACAAACAAATAAAAAAACTGCATTGGACACCTGCTTGTGCCAGGTGCTGTCCTAGGCTCAGAGAATAAAAAGACAAAAAGGACGTAGTTTCCATCCCAAAAGAGTTCCCAGGCTAGTGGGAGACCGAGGACATGCAGACAGATAAACCACAGTGCATTGTGAGGAGTGTTGTTGAGGAGGGTATAAAGGGCCCTGGGAGCAGAGAATAGTGACCAACAGCTCTGCTGCAGAGTGGGAACAAGGGAGGATCAGGAGAAACTGCAAAAAGGCGGTGATATTGACATGGACGTTGAGGATCCTGTCTCAGTTTGGTTTCCCCAGAAGCAGATCCTGAGACAAAGACTTGAATGTAAGTAGTTTATTTGGAAGGTTAAGGGATTGCTGAATGTGGAATGTGGAAGTGAGACAGGGAAAGAAAGGCAGCCAATAAAAGGTGCTTTATCAAGCCACTTATCACTGTGGGCAGCCAGGGCTCCTTCCCACTGAGGAACTTTGGGAGGCTGTTGAACACGCCTCTAACTTAGCTTGGCAGAGGGGTGAGGGGGCCGGGGCATGTATACACCAACTTCTGCCAGTCAATGGCTCAGTGGCTGAGGGCCGCTTCAGGAGGGTGTTAATTTCCTGGCATTTTGGGCCTGATCAGCAGTGAGTGGCAGTACAGGTTCCAGAAGCCAGAGAAAGCTGCAGGCAAAGAATTGCAGGTACTGGCAGCTGGATGTGGGGCTGGAGCACACTAAAGTGGTTGTGGTGAGGGGATGGAGTGGGGCACTGACAGGGCAGCAGCTATACAGATGATGAGCTTCTGCCTGGAGGACTAGGCTTAGCAGGCTTTCCTAGCAGGGGACCAGTTATGATTAAAGGCCAGAGATCTGTGACTAGGGACGCTAGTGTGGCTGGAGCACAGGGTGGGGGTTGGTGGAGGTAGAATGTGAGGCCTGGAAGTGAGGGGCCAAGATGCAAGGCCACGGCTGCCTCTGGGCACAGAGGCTTTTCAGAAGGGGACACTAAAGGAGGGGTGGTCTAACAGACACACTCCAACTGCACAGACAACCAGTGAGCCCCAGAACATAAAACTTGCTGATCAGGCTCAGGGAAAAATGCTCCGGTCCTTGCTCAACTGAACTGCTGATGGTTCAAAAGCAGCCCCACGGACATGGCCATTGGATGGGTTATTTCTCCTCTGAGAGATATGATAGTGCTGACTAACCGTGGTCACCTATGATGTCAGGCAAGCCAGCACATGCTGCAGACGTGCTGTCTGGGCCTGGCAGCAAGATTAGAACCAAGCATGGCCCCAGTCCACTGCCACGTAACTGCCGCTCGTCCCTCTGCTTAGGAACTGCAAGCACGAAATGGGCCATGCCCAGAAGATCTGGAATAATCAGCATCAGCGTTTTGCCTTTGCCATCCAAGACCACAAACATGCTCTCATTTGACCTAATCCGTGGTGTTAATGATGGCAGAGCAATTTTGAGAGGCAACTCACAGCATTGATAAGGAGAGGAAAAGCACCAAGGGCTTAGGAGGCACAGCTCCTCACAGAAAAGGCAGCTGCGGTCCCCCCTCCCCTCCCTAGGCACTTTGTGCAAATGCTGCCCTCCTATCTGCCCTGTTTGAGGCTGAAGATGGTAGGAGAAAAGGGACATAGAAGAGTGGAAGTGGAGTGTGCATGGCACAGGGAAGTGGGGGCTGCCCATACTGCACCTTAGAACAAACCAGAAAAAGGAATTCTTTACTCTGGGTAAATGCAACCTTGAGCCAGGTTGGGCAGAGTGTGGGCTAGACTTGAGCACCCACTTACCCCCTCAGCTGGGTGCAATAGATGCCCTGCACCACTGTATGTGGCAGACCCAAGGAGAGAAGGAAAGACAGAGGGCATGACGGGAACTTGAAACCACCATAGCTGTAAGAGGCAGGGGCGATGTAGTGTCTGATTCATCCATTAATAGAAATACTAGAAGGGGTTGGAGACCATCTAGGCTAAACCTCTTCTTTTAATGAAAAGCTTAGAGATGGGGAGTGATGGATTCAAGGTTGCCTGACTCTTCCCTTGACAAGAAAGTCCACTTAATAACAGCGAGGTCAGGTACCCAAGAGCAGTGAGGATGTGCCTCAGAAGATGTGGTGAGAAGCTCTGTTCTGTTGGGGTAGAGGAAGAGGCAAGATGCCAGCCATGGGACTCTCCAGTCCTGCAGCCCCTCATTCCTCCTGGAAGGGTGGCAGCCTCCACCATCACAATGACATCACATGCTGCCCTTCCCTTCTGCCTCTCCCCACATCACAGCGCCAGCTAGCTTAGTCCATGTTTCACCTGGGCAAAGGGAAGCCCCCAGGGTCTTCCTGCTGGCAGCCCCGCAGCCTTTCCTGCTCCTAGG